CAGTGATTGTCAGAAATTTGGAAGCTGAGTGTGATATTGGGGAGGAGAACCGGATCTTTGTTGACCTCTCTGATTGCATATACCACAGCCAGGAACTGCTGGTACCTCTTCGGTATGAGTCTATTGTGAGAAAAATCATTGGAGAAATTTTCAGAAAAGGTCATGCTATTGGATTTGCCTTGCCTTTGTGTGTGTGTGTGTGTGTGTGTGTGTGTGTGTGTGTGTGTGTGTATTGTTGGAGTCAGAAGTCCCAAGTTTCACTGGTTTGAGTCCTTAGATGTTTCTTAATGAAACTTGTATGGCTTTGTGAGAAAGAAGAAAATTGTCTCTTTTCACATCACAGGACATTTTATACCTTCTAAAGTCCTTTCCTTCTTCACTTTGCTGCAGTGGTTATAATCCTTCTTTTCTCTTTAAGCTTCTCACCATGACTTTCTATCCAAATTAATATTATAACCCAACTTCTTCACTATGCCAGCACAAATGCATTCCAACAAACCTCCATTCCAAACGATTACTCTGAGACAGACATATATCAAAGATACCTTTATTTGGATAGTAACTGGCACATCTGTGGAATCCCAAAATTGAAAGTTCTGGGCATCCTTGCAAAAATCAAAACTACAAATCCACCCCTGCCCCCCTTAGCCATCACCACATCACATGGTCCAATCACTTTCCGTCCTAAAATAAGATTTCCATTTCATTATATGCCACACTCAGTGACCTTGAACCAAACAAAATAATTTTATTTTGTCTAGGTAGATATACTCAAATGAATTCCTCCCTCCCACTTTCTCAGGCTCAATTGTGGCAACATGGGGGGCATCAAATCTCAATATGGCTTCCAAAGCTGACACATAATTTCTAAGCTCTTGTCCTGCTTTAATTTGTGGTTTACTGATGAAAACTTCTCTATAGAGAATTTTTACCTATTTTAAGAGTTTGGCGATTTGCTGAGCAAAGAATAAAGATTTGAAGTACACTAGATACTAGAATAGGTTTTTTTTTTAAAAAAAGACTCCCTGGATTTAAAACAAGAGTCTTCAAACGGGACAGCTTTAAGACTTGTGGACTTCAACTCCTAGAATTGTCATGTTAGTTCAGGAATTCTGGGAGTTGAAGTCCACAAATCTTAAACTTGCCAAGTTTGAAGACCTTTGATTTAAAACAAAGCAAACAAGTATCTACATCATATCCCTCCAGATGAGACTTACACACTTGGCACAAAAAGCAAGAATGGATCTTTTTTGAAATCTAGAACAATGGAAGGAGCAATGATTCCCAGGTGCACATTCCCACCAATAACGAGATCACCAGGCCTATAGTAGGTTTCCTGTGATTGCAAATAATTCCTCAACACACATACAGTTTGCATCTTTTTAGTAGCAATTGGAGGCAGGAACCAGAAGATCAACAGCAGTAGAAGAGGCAGCCTAGTCATAATTGTCACCTTCCCTCCAAGATGACAAGTCAAGGTTTGTGCAGAAGCCGAATTGCAGGTAGCACTTGGAATCTCTCCAAAGTTTTCACACAATAGACACTACCCTTGCTACCTGGATGGCCTCAGGGCAAATTTATATCAATCATGTTTCCTCTTATCTGTGTTCAGGCTCTTATCTGTGTTCGGGCCAAAGAGAAAACTATGGCCAGCTGAGTCTCAGCAAACCCAGGAATTTCTACTTGCAAGACAAGAGAAGATGACAGACATGTTCTTTCTCCACTGGGAGAACTAGGAGCGTATGTTTTATAACAGGTTTTATCTTGAAAGATTTGTGAGGGTAGAAATCTACAGGGGATACATTAACAATGACTGTTCTGACATATTGTCCTGGCACTAGAAGGGGAAAAACATGTTTATATCTCTTGTTGCTAATTCACAGAGCATCTGGACTCAAGAGTCAAGGTGAAGCTGGGTGTTTGATGAAACTGAGCACTTGTGTCATAGTTTGCTCAGATAGAAAATGTGCTAATATGGCATGGTGGCACATGCTCAATAGTTGTAACCTAGCAGGTGTGAACCACCATATCAATGTTTGGATGGACTAACTGGTTTATTTATATAGCAGTATATGAAATTTAAGGGATGTGGTGGCTCAGTGGCTACGACGCTGAGCTTGTTGATCAGAAAGGTCAGCAGTTCAGTGGTTCAAATCCCTAGCACTGTGTAATGGAGTGAACTACCGTTATTTGTCCTAGCTTCTGCCAACCAGCAGTTCGAAAGCATGTAAAAATGCAAGTAGAAAAATAGGGACCACTTTGGTGGGAAGGGAATTGTTAGGTATAACATTGATACCAAATATGGTTTGGGTGAATAAATATATAAAACTTAGATATCATGGTTTAAGTGCTTATCACTTTAAGCACAATGCAGCAGGCAATTAGCCGATTAAGGGTGCGGTTAGAAGTTACAATATAAGGAAGCATTAGAAGCTGGAGAGCTTACTGTCTGACTGTTACTGACTGTAACTGTGTGCTGCTGCGAGTAACTGTGTGTTACTGTGACTAACTGTGATTACTGACTGTGAGTGCCTGTGACTGAACTGTTATTGTTTGCTACTGTTTGCTGAATATCCAGCGTTTGTTTCTCTGGAGAGTGAAACCGGAGGAGGAGAAGATATCTTTATCGGCTGATAAAGATATTGCAAGGACTCTTAACTTGGACTATACTAGTGGGTCTTACTGGATGGAAATACTGTGAATGACTTAATGGACTGAATGAACTCTAACTGCTAAACTCTAGCTTAAACTCTAACTGGATTAAAAACTATTTAAACTACAAACAGTGTTTGTGTTCAGTGTGTGTATACTCTGGGGCCCTTCCGCTCTCCTTTGGTTGCCTGGCTTGACTACTGCTGCAATACTCTGCTAGGGGTTAATCTCCAAACCCTAACAG